GCTGCGCTGTAGAGGGGTTCTGAAGGGCAGGCCAGCCCTATGGGACAGACGAGACCGGGCGTCTATAAATAAGCACTGGCGGGATACCTTCCATTCGTTGTGATCGTCGTTCCTTGTTTGCGACGTTAAAGAATTCCTGAGGACTTCGGGGGCCGTCCATAAAAACGGCTCCTGATCAGCCAATCAGTCGGTGTAAGGCTCGCTGCTCGCGAGGATAAATATGCTGCAGGGCTGGCCAGCTCAGCAGGGCTCGGGGCACATGGGTGGGCCGTGTGCACACCTTCAGACACGCACGCTATGTCGATTGCTCAGGGATGTTGACGACAAGAGACATTCAAGCAAAACTGAGGGAGGGGTAGATTCCAAGTGATAAGTTTGAGCAAGATTCCATACTGCAAACAGACCCAACCAACGATTCTATTTTTATTTTGATTAGTTAGATGTACAGCCATTGACATCTGACAGACAGCATAGTTTAGAACTGTTCTTTGTTCATTGTGCTTATGCTGTCTCTTATACACATCTAGATGTGTATAAGAGACAGATCGTAGTGTGATTTCATGTTGCAGGCGCAGCATGTAACACATGTGAAGGCACAGTCAGTGAACTTGTGCCTAGAACTGAGAGCCGAATATGCTATGCCCATGGCTTTCAGCTGCCCTTATTCTTGAAATTAGGGAGTCACAGAAGTGACTGTAGTGTCAGCTATGTTCTTTTTCTTTTTCTTTTTTGCTAGTTGCCTTCAGTTTGCTTGTCTAAAGGGGGGATTCTGTCGTGCCAAGTCGTCAACCATATATCTTTCTGAACTTCAGCCATCTCTAGTCTTCTACCGTGCGATGCCGCTGGCTTGCCATTTCAGAATTTCACTTTCATTGGCTGTTTGCTGTTTGGTGCTGTCACCAGGTTTTGGGAAGGTGCATTTGAAGCAGATTTGAAGAAAGCATATGAGAAGTGAGTTCTGTCTCATTTTCACCCTTCCTTTTTCGTCTCCCTTTTTCTTTTTTAAATTTTGAAAGGGCAATGGCCTTGAGATATTATCTTCAAACTGACTGGCCGCAGGTAAATTCGGAGTTATTTCACTCGTCTGGGGCCATCAGGATGAGATCTGTAGTTCAACAGCTCATTGGTGTAGCAACTGAGCTAGTCCCATTGTTGTTTGGTCTTTTCTCCGTAGTTTGTCTCTTCCAGTATGTGACAACTGCTCTGCTTCGCTCTGTACCATCCATCTTCAATCTCTCTCTCTCTCTCTCTCTCTCTCTCTCTCTCTCTCTCTCTCTCTCTCTCTCTCTCTCTCTCTCTCGCTCGCTCGCTCGTCCGGTTGAGAATGAAGCCTGTTGGAGCCAGTTGGATGTTTGCCCACCATGCCTAACTCTGTTTGTTTTTTTGAGAATGCGTGCATGCACTGGTTATTTCGCCTCTCGTAACTTACTGCAATAGGACATCTAATCTGGGCTGCTTTTGGCTTCCCTATGCTTAACAGGCAAGTCGACAGGGATTGCATCTCTGAGGCTCCTTGTCCTTTGCAGCACTGGCACTTTGGCCATTCGGCACTAGCCATCTCTGAACGCCTATTGTGCTATCCATACAGAAGAGTGTAACGTGCGACGCATAGGCCTCGATAAGCCCTACTGGGCCCCTACTTGCAACTGGTCGGCTGCCCTAAGTGAAGGCAGGCCCGACAGACGACAAGAGGCCTGTTTTTGACTACTTCGCAACTGGGGAAAATTCAGGCAGTTGCGCAGCACCAGTTGGTTGAAGGCGCCCAGGCCCTGGCCTCCTTTATCGACTGTATCTAAGGCAGGCCCTGGGCGAGATACGCAGCATAGGCCCAACTCAGGCAGCGGGCAGTTGGGCCCGGGTAACTGTCGGTGGCCCTGGGCCTGATTCGTTTGGTCTGAGGCTCAGCCTCCCTGGGCCTACTGGAAGCTTCTGGGCAGGGACCGAGCACAGTCAGGCTGCACGCAAGCAGGCTGGCCATTTCCATTTAGGAAAGGGCCAGCCTACGCATTCAGCATTCGGGCACTGGCTGCTTTGTGCGCAAGCGCTGCTGCGCTATCGCCTGCCAGGCTCACGCGCTCACGGGCAAACTGGAAGGAGCAGGCAGCCATAGCCGAGCTGCGCTGCTGTATGCTG